GTTACAATTAACTGCATTCATTTCTGCATACAGAATCTGCAAGATGTTCATTTAATAAATATATAAAAGGAATAGCTCAGCCCTTGTTATTCTGAACACATCCTACGATTTCTTGCACAAGGTAGCAACGCTTCTCTGACATCCACACACACGTCCAGCACAGTATGTCCAACTGTGAGGCGCTGATCCTGCCATGTGTGTTCACATCAGAACAGACGTTGATGGAAAAGGTCATCAGATGACAGGAGACAAAGAAGCACATATGGTTTTACTCTACCAGAGATGCTTCTCCAGGGTTTCTGTGGACCCTTAAGTCTTAAATTAGATTTTTAAAAATGTAAGGCCATAAAAAGTCTTATTACATTTAGATTTTCTTACATTTTCAATGCCAATTTGACTTGCACAATTAATTTACAATTAAATGTAATTAGCATACTTTTTTTTATTTATTCATTCTTTGTGGATTTGCTTGTTCGTGACATTTCACGTCACATTTGCGGCAGCATTATCTGTTTCCTGCACATGAAACTAGAGGAGAGAAGCAAGTTGGTAAATGTCAGTACAATTGTAAGTTCATTCATTGTGCGTAATGGTGTGCAATGTGTATTGTCTATTCTGATATTGTAATCATTGTTTTAATGATATACGAGGCACATCGCTTTAGTCTCTCGTGCTTTCTCGCGTGATGTGTGCAGTTATAGGTATGTTCCCTAATGAGTTTGTCTTTTATTATATGATATGTTATACAATATCACATTGCAAGAGGGCTGTTTTCCCATGCACAGTTGCAAATGTGATATTAATTTTTATATAACCGTTAAATGAATAATAAATGAACATTTGAGTTGCATTTTATAAACAATATTGTTGGTTTTCCTTTTGTTTCACAGAGAATTTCAAAATGAAACCATAGCAGAGACTCATGCAACAGACAGCCATGAATTTATTTATTTATTTTTTCTGAATGTAGTGCTTAGATGAACTTGAGAACAAGTGATCGATTGATGTGCTTTTTAACATTGCTTAGAAAATTACCGCTCCCCCCCTGTGAGAGATACGAGACCGGTGCGTCTCACAGGTGTCTCTCATCTGTAATCACGCCACCGGCCTCGTGCTGTTCTCCCACGGCCCTCAGCCTCGTCCTGCTTAAGAAATTGTTAAAATAGTCCAAGTGACTACATTGGCTCAATCTTAAGTTCATCAAGCAATGAGAATACTTTTTTGTGCGCAAAAATAACGACTTTATTCTATTCATTTCCTTCTCTGTTAGGCCTCGAGTTAGTTCACGTCGTGTAACTGCGCAGCGCTTCTAGGTTGAATGTCACACGCATCACACATGACCAGCATTGGCCAAAAGTGAGCCTACATGTGACGTTAAACCCAGAAGCGCTGCGCAGTTTCACTATGTGAAATATCTCGATGCCCACAGAGAAGGAAATGAATAATTAAAGTCTTTTTTGTTTGTTTTTTCGCCTATTCTTGCCGATGCATGACATCATTTTGATTTCTTACGTACATGCTTGTACTGTGTTTTGTTCACCATTTGTTTGGGGACGCTGACAAAGCCTCGACCTGAAAGCACTGTCATGATGCCCACAGAGACAGGGAGAGATTGTTTTTAATGGTACTTTAATTAATAATGGATGCAGCATGGCAGAGCTCCTAAGATTTACCTGCAAGAGATTGCGGTGCTTCACAAGTGCATCAACCTGGATAAAAACAACTTCCACAGTCAGCAGCAGGTCCTGCTGAATACCACATCAGGTCCCATCTTACAGAAGCAGCACCTATGGAAAATGGTTGCTTCATATTCATATTATGCTTCATATCTGCTGATATGTAATCATATTTACTAATTTATGCATTGTCCCTAAACCTTATTTGTTCTTGCGTGTCAAGCAAGCATGGTTGACCTTCTGTGTTTGCAATATTTGATAATAAATAAAACTATTCATTTCATTATGGGAAGCATTTATTTTATTTCTTTTGTACTCTAACATGTCATTGAGGTTCAATGTTTTTGGACCCCATTGACTTTCATTGTTTTTGTTGCACAAAATTGCTGTTAGTTTTCTAAACGATCAGACATTCTGTTTGGGTTTTGCTTGATGGGCGAAATGGTACGATTGCTAAAACGCCTGTTGAAGGAGGGATCTGTGCTATATCTAAAGACCAGAACAGAGTCTTGTTGGTGGGCGATTTGATTTGGGTCCACCAATCAATGGCTTCACATCCACCCAGAATGCCCTATCAACTGCTTAGCAACCACCCACAACACCGTAGCATTATGGTGGTCAACTTTTGCATACACTCATGGGTCACTTTTTTAAATTTTTTTTTTATTTATTTATTTTTTTTTTTTAGCATAGCCCTTTGGTTTCAAAATATAATGTAGCTATGCAAGTATAATGTATTCAGTAGGACCAAGCAGTTCAGTTCTCTTGGATGTGGCTGCTGTGACTGTCTGGAGTGTGTGTATTTTGTTTCTGGTAGGCTGTGCATGACACTCTGTATGTCTGCATGTGCTCTGTGGGTTTTCTCAAGAGACGACCTTGAGGGTGTCCTCTCCTTGTGATATGGGAGGGGCAAGCTGTGGGAAGGGAAATGTGATCAGGGCACCAATGACTCTTCCGCTTGATGGGTAAAACGTTGAGATGTTAAATGTCGTTAGTTTTTCTCAAACCTTCAGATAACTACAATGGAAGCGATGATGGTGCTTGTGATAAAACATCACGCTACTGCTGTCATTTATAATAGATTACTTAATGAGGAGAGCTATTAGTTTGAGTGTTTTAATGAGTTCTTCTGACTGAAAAAATGTTGGCAGTAGATTTAAGCTGTTTTTGATGCATTTACACAGCAGACATTTCATTACTGGTGTTGCTTTGAAGGATAATAATATGGGTGGAAAAGTCTGTCTTGCATTACCCCTTAGGGGTCTTAGGTGTTTTTGGGGTCCTTGATGTTTTGACATGCCCTGACATTTGTGCTTTTTTTCAGTTGCTTATAAACATATTAATGGCAGAGGTGTCATTACACTCTTTTCAGCACAAACATATGTGAGCAACATGTTTGTATTTTTGAGAGAACGTTTATGCATGGTTATTGAAACAATTTAAAGTTTTTGAAATAAGGCTACAAAACGTGTCCATAAGACTTTTGACTAATGTTGTCGCCTAGAGCAACAGTTTTCAATAGGTGAGGCGTACCTCCCCTTGGGGGCGCCAAAGAGCGACAGGAGGCGTGACGCGCAAAGAAAAAATAACTTTTTGCAGCTCTATTAATATGGGCTGTGTGGGAAATTTTGTTGTGTCAATTGATTTCACCTACCAGTTCACAGAGAGGCAGAAATAATATGTTTATTTTCTTTATTTTAAAAAAGTTAAATATTTTGTTTTGATTGTAAATGCACATAATGTAGACATTTTAGTTTTTTCATATTTAAGTCTATATGACCATAAATGTCTATTTTGCTGCTTTGTGAAAAAAATCGAGCAAAACCCTGGGCCCAGATATATATATATATATATATATATATATGGAGAGTTCAGATGCAAAAGCCTCTAAATGCCATTTGAAATTTTCTTCTAAAATGACCATTTTTATCAAGCTTGTATATTTAAGTTTAGTAATTTCACTTAAATGACAATTAATAGGTAATCTTCATTGCCATTTAAGTGAAATCACTGAACTTAAATATACAAGCTTGATAAAAATGATCATTCTAGAAGAAAATTTCAAATGGCACTTAGAGGCTTTTGCATCTGAACTCTTCATATATATATTCTGGGTATATATGACCCAGAATATCATGGACGCTTGCCATCCCAAAGATCCACTCATGTTGTCTGCAGAAAATGTAGTTAAATAACATTTCTAATTAAAAAAAAATAATATATATATAATTTTTTTTATAAAAAATTTACATTTGTGTGTACAATGGTCCTCATTCAAAAAACTTTAGTACAGTCGGAGTAATTTGCAAATAAGAGGGATCTTCCCATTAACTCTCCTCCGGATTCACAAACGCTTTGTGAACCTCATATTTAGTAGTCTAGTTAAATGTGTGAATGTTAATGAATTCCAATCATTCATAAATCGGGTGCGTGTCAAGTTTTTTAGGTAATGTAATCTTTTTTAAACTAGTAAACTATCATTATGGAACCGGTATCAGAGTCAAGGTATAGCTCAACACCGTGGAATCATCGTGGCAACTTGGATATGGTTGTCACCATCAGTAGACCAAAAGTACTGAAGAGATTTAATTTGCTTTAGAGGGACGGATGCCTGTATAGATTATGGCATGATGTTGATTAGTTTTGGTAGTGTGGCCCTGACAAGGAGCATCTTGTGCCATTGTGAATTATTTGACCTACAGGGCTGCCGGGGTCACAAACAGGGCTGCTATGACAGAATGTACTGACGTGTGACCTATTCCAGGCCATGTGTTTGTGAGGTTTTGATGTTTAGTGATTTTGCTCTAACAGGCCTTGGAGGCACATAAACGATATGGATTTAAGCTCTGTCTACTGCATTTGTGGTAAAATGTTGATTATCACAGAAAATGATTTTGGACTCAAGATTTTGCACTCCCTTTCTTATTGTTAAACATAAAATCATGCTTACAGTGAGATCCATATTCAACCCAGTACTAGGTTTAGCAAGCGAGGCATCCCACTAGCAAAGCTCAATTCTGGTTGCATCACTGAATTGGCTCTCTTAGATACTGCATGCTATCATGTATCCGCAATTTTCTTTCCTATTTTAAAATTGAGCTTTACCCATGGCTGTTTTGTGTCAGTGTGTGTGAAATAATAAATGCAGTCCCATGCACTGGTGACCAGGTGTACTACATACAATGTATTTTTCTTCCATTGATTTAGGATGTCGGTAGGCATCATTTATATTCTGTTGCCCACACATTCCAATCGTTCTTTGGACTTTCATGGAAAGTGACAACTTGTGCAAAAGTGACTTTTTCTTTCTCATTTCCAATGCAGCCATCCTCGAGTTCCCCATGGATGTGTTCACCAACAGACAGCGTACACAAGGAGCTGTTCTGCTACACATATTTGCGGTAGGCAAACTTTGTGTGTGGACGTCAATCAACATCTAGCCTTGCTCACCAGTTGACCTTGTCATCTAGGATAAATGGTGCATGTCTGACAATTTTATGACGCATATAAATAGTTTGTCAGCTTTTTTCGTCATTTGTGACTGGTCATGAGTTTGCCAATATGAGTTCACAACACTGAGGCCACCCTGTCAACAATTGCTTCTAGAACATGAGATCACTTAAATTATTTCTGCACATCAACCCCATTATGGTGCTCATTATCTCATTCTTGTCTTTCTTTAATGGGTTTATTGTGGTTTCTGCTTTCCATTTCAGGCTTTATATATGTTTCTGGCCCTTGCTATTGTCTGTGATGACTACTTTGTGACCTCTTTAGAAAAGATCTGTGAGGTAAGAATAAATGAACAGTGGTAATGAGCTTTTACCCGTTCTTCTAAACCCAAAATCCTTTAATGCTGAATGCTAGTTCAGGTTATACTAATATGCAGCTCTATTAGGTATAAGTTAGCACGGTTGGTTTGTGGTATGTTTACTGTGTGCTGTGCTTTAGCCATCAAAGCATCCCTTTGTAAAAAAAAAATCACCATCTTTGACAATACATTTGAAGACAAATTACTGTACAACTTCTCATGCGTAATCCTCTAAAATCTGTTATTAAAGATGAGTTATTTTGCTGTTTTATTTTTTGAATGTCAATTACTCTGCATTTAGTATCAAAATGCCCCTAAGAAATATGTCTGATCAGTGACATAATTATACAGTGTTCCTTAAAGGAATAATTTACTAAAAAAATTAATGTGTTATTTATTTACTCCCTTCATGTAGTTAGGAACCTGTTATTTTTGTGCTAGAACAGAGTAATTTTTGAAGAATTTTTATGGTCATCTTTTCAATGACTAACAAGGAATTGTTTGTGCAACCCACTGACAGTTTTGCACATCTCTAGAGTTTATTTAGACCTTTTAATTATGGCCTTCGCACATCCTCTGCTTGAATTTGTATGTTTCCCCCCATCTATTAGAAACTGCACCTGAGTGAAGATGTAGCAGGAGCGACCTTCATGGCAGCTGGAAGCTCCGCCCCAGAACTGTTTGCCTCTATAATTGGTGAGCCACACGTACAGGTGCTTGTTTTATGCATTAGTCATGTGACAACAGTTACTGTGGATTAGAACCCTCTTGTTTTCTGCAGGTGTGTTCATTACACATGGAGATGTGGGGGTGGGTACCATAGTGGGCTCAGCTGTGTTCAACATCCTGTGCATCATCGGTGTGTGTGGGATTTTTGCTGGGCAGGTGAGCAGGTTTTTTTAGCTCTATATTACAGCTTCCCTCCTTCGGAGCTTCTGCAACTCTTGACCTTTTCGTGTTTTCATCTGAGCATTGCACTGTGAAAATTACTCTCTAGACTGGCTGTTGTTTTTTCTCTCATTCTCATTTCAAAGAGTGGAATTTTTGAAAGCGAATGTTTAAAAATAAATCAGTCTAAGAGTTTGACCAAAATAAATACAAGGTTTAAAAAAGTACATTGCTGGTTTTTTTTGTTTTTTTTGAGAAATTAAGGCTTGGGGGCAAGTTGCATAAACAGCTATTATGTCAAGACTGTCTTAAGAAGTAGTATGACCAATGAGCAGTTATTCAGGGGTAACTTTTGTTAGGGTCTTACTTTTGTCAAATTAAATCATTATATGTTTTTATGTTACTGACTTAAAGTAATGAACTGTCTTAATGGAAAACATTTGATGATTAGCCTAATGCCTTGTTCACACTACACAACTTTACGGGGGCAGATCGCTGAGCTGTTTAGACTACATTTAGACTTGCTCTGGAGTCTTGAAGTCGTTGTGGTGTTCACACTACGTGACACTATGTAAATGATCTGCAACAGGGGGTTACACACTACACGAGCTGACAACTGTCACCCAACAACGCTCTCGACTCTCGACTCTATTATAATATAATATGGGTGAAAGGATGGATAAGCACACGCGGGTAGCAGACATGTTTATAGACCATTTTGCAAGATGTAAACAACACTGGTCCAGAAGCCCTTCCTGTTTATTTTTTTTAACACTACACAAAAGCTGGGATAAAATACAACCGACAGAACATGTAAAACTGAATCAAAAAGTTAAACAACATCTTTAAGATGTTTTCTTTACATGTGAAATAAAGAAAACGGTTACAAACTGAAACAGGAAGTGTTTCTGGACCAGTGTTGTTTACATCTAGCAAAATGGTCTATAATGAAAAAGCAGCTGCCTGCTTGTGTTGTCGTTTGCCATCGATAGTTACAAATACAAAAAGCTTGTGTGATGTGATAAGCTGATCATTGGCTGTTGCTCGTTTCGACACGTGACGCCAAAGGCCATCAAGTCAGCTCCAGATGTTTAGCATGCTAGATATTTTTGCAAGCGATTATAGTGTGAACTAGGCATACCTTGTAAGGCGAGTTTTAGCAGTTTTTGCAATCGGCCCCTGCTGGTTTCACAGACATGGCTTAGACTAAGCCAAGGACTAGGCCTTTGTTAAATTAGGAAGTTTAAGTAGCTTTTATAAATGACATGATGTTCATCTCAAGACAAAACAATGCCCTTAAATATTTTGAGATATGTCAGTGTAAGCTGCTTTCAGTTACGACAGCTCAAACATGCATTTTAGTCTGGGACTAGGCTTAAGCCTGCTCTGTGAAACCGGGCATAAACTTTGTTGTTGCATGTGGCAAACTTGAAGGTACAGTAGACCTGACACAAAAAAATAAAATATGTTGCTTTTGTTGACTTCTGTTTACAAAACTCTTCTCATTTCCAATTAGGTTGTTTATCTCACAAAGTATGCTGTATTCCGAGATTCGACCTACTACATTTTTTCTGTGGTTGCCCTTATTGCAGTAAGTGTCAATTTCATGAGATCGGTCAATTGAATGGTGCAATATAGGTTCTGGAAGTAAAAATCCCATTAACTTTCTCATCAGAGAAACTGAGATAATTAGCAATAATGCATAACACTTTCAGGACAAATATACTATGAGCTCTGAGGTTGTAAAACAATGGCTTAGAAGCCTTTATGAAGAAACTGGAAGTGATGTTTGCTGCCATTTGTTAGAGTGTTTTTATATTAGCCAGTAACCACTCAGAACATCTATCGAAGATGCTGTTAAAGAGTTAGTTCACCCAAAAATGTACATTTGTGTCGTTCCAAACCCATAAGGCTTTCGTTCATCTTCAGAGCATAAATGAAGAACTTTGAAATCGCAGACCTTTCTGTCCCTCCTTTGACAGCTACGCAACTACCACTTTGATGCTAAAAAGTTCATAATGAGATTGTAAAACTAATCCATATGAATTGAGTGGTTTAGTCCAAGTTTTCTGAAGAAACACGATTGCTTTATATGATGAACCAATTGATGAACTGATGCCATAATATGAACCGATGAACCTATGCCATAATATATTAATATGGAAAAACTACATAATGAATAGAACAATGTGCACTGAATTATGCTGCCACTCCATGATTACTTACAGACTGTATATTTCTTTCAGTTTATTTATGATGACAAGATTTTGTGGTAAGTGAACCTGTTTGAGTATACCTTATCTTGACTGGTTGATGGCAGAGATCTGATTGGCTTCCTCCTCTCTCTCTCTGCAGGTGGGAGAGTCTGGTACTGATTCTCATGTATGTTGGCTACATCGTCATCATGAAGTGAGTTCTTCTTTTTGTCTAATCATTTAAACAGATTCTTTATTTTAATTAAAACATTTAGCCTTCAAATATTTTTTTATTTTATAATTTGCGCATTAATTTTTAACTGTTTAAATAACTAAAGAATTGTTTTATCGAAGTACTTTGTGGTATTGGAATTTAATTTAAGGTGCGGTCACATTGTTATTATTTTTTTTTTTTTTTGTGTGTATGGGTGAAATCCATTTGTTTCAACAAGAATCCTTGCGATTGGTAGTTCCGTGTAAGGGTGAATGATTTCCTCATGCTGATTTTGCAATGGATCAAGTTGGTCATCCGACATGTTGACCAACAGGAAGTTTGGCTTGGTTTAAAAGTGATTTCTGTGCGAGTTGTGCTTCATATATTGCTGCACTTTCAATAGATAATATACTGTGAAATCTCACTGTTTTACACCTTTGGAGTTTTTGTTTAAATCGGTTTCTCTGTGTGTGTTTTTTTTTTTTTTTAAGGTTTAACACTAGCATTCAAAACTACTTTGCGGGGACGGAAGGCAAAGGTGTCGTCAATGGTAACGCGGTCAGCAGCGAGATGGAGGATGGTAATGAATGTTATAGGCAGTTTTGGGATGATGCATCATGGCCACTCCTCAGCCCAGGTAAGGGTAACTAGACAGGCTTCCTCATGGGAGAGCAACTAACCCTCTGCTGCTTGCAACAAAGTCGGATCTTGTTCTCTTTAAATTCCACTCTAATATCTGTATGTCTTCTGTTTGTAAAACCTATGCCAACAGCACTTAACGAATGCGTAGCCATCTGACATCTCTTATGAGAGACTGACACTTTGCTTCCTTGCTGAATATCTGCGGTGCGCTTTCTGTTTCAGAGCACAGTGTCCTGTAGTGCAGCTCTAACCGGTGTGCTGCGTGGCGGTCTGTCACCCCCCTGCTGAAGCCTGTCTGTTTAGCCTTACTAAATCTGCCCTGGCTCCTGTCTCATCTTGCAGTGTGTGTGTGTGTGTGTCTGTCTGTCTCTTATTCCCAGTACCAGTGATGCATCCTTCCATTCTTTTTACAAAATGGTATCTATCACTGTGCCTGGATAATAAGATTTATATTCATTTCATCGAGTTTTTTTTGTTTGTTTTTTTAAGATATCTTCTAAGGACAAAGGCAAGTGAAATATAGATATGGTACTGTCAACATTATATCAGAATTGAGGATGTTTCTGGTCTTATTGTGCACAATTTATCAGAGCATGTAGTTCCAAAGAAAAGAAAGTTGTCTTCATAATCTTTGATCGAAATTTAATAATTGCTCTGCTTCTAAAACGACTTTGCTTTTTGATTGATGTCACCAATATATATATATATATATATATATATATATATAGGCCTGATATTTATATGGGCAAAAAGATGAAATTCTAAAAGCGTGTAGGTAAATAAATGAAATATTTATAACAGTATAGCAGACTACTTGTATAAAATGCACATAAATATAAGTTGTAGCTCTATATCTCTCAATGATCTCTTGGTAAGATGATATGTCCGGCTTGTTACAGCAGGATGGATTTGCTGTCAATGTTTTTATCATACATCAGCTGGATATAATCGTTCTGAAGGTTATTCAAATTATATTATTTCTAATATTATGTCATTATAGTTATAAATGTGGAGTGAACTCTGCTATTCTTTAATATCGAGAAATATTTTTTGAACTGTATCTTCATAGTTATCGTCCTTGGTGTGTATCAAATGATACAGTAGGCTTTATAGGGTTAAATTTCACACAGTAGTCAATAGCGACATATTGCGACACCCTAACAACAATGAAGTCTCATGGTTTGAAATTGGGATGGGACAATCTGTTTGAACAAAAAAAAATGGCAGAAACGAGTGTTTGAGAAACGCTAAAAGTATATCTTTGGTCATTGTGTGTCTTTGTTGATAGTGTATTGGCAGTAGAGCTCTTCCTGTGATGTCCATCTGTAATCTAGAGTATGGTTGAGATTTCATTTCATGTCGTTATTCTATGTGTTAATGGTTTCTGACAGTATACTGAGGGGCTCAGAGGTAGGCCTACAGTCTATATCCCAGCAGGAATCAGTCTCTCACTGACAGACAGGCCTTTAGATTTGTGATCTGTGATCATCTTTTTTTCTTTTGGGAGTTTAGGTTTATGGTCACCAAATACTGTACATTTTGTGTGTTTTGGGCATGTGTACCAAATGTTTTTTTTTTTTCTTCCGTGTCCGCAGTAAAGCCCAGTAAAACATACTCTAGGGGCTCTGTTGTGATGGTGGATGAGATGATAAATTCAAGCCCTCCACATTATCGGTTTCCCGAGGCCGGCCTCAGGGTCATGATCACCAACCACTTTGGACCCAAGACGCGTCTCCGCATGGCAAGCCGACTTATCATCAATGAGGTAAGAAAACTCACCTGCTGAGTGAACATCTCTGAGAAGATAAGCTAATAATCCTAAGAAGTCTTGGGGTTACGATGATTTTAACACGGTAATGGAAACTGAGTACCTGAAGCCCATTTTAAAAGGATAACTCACAAAAAAAGTCCTCATGTTTGAAACCTGAATTAATTTTTTCTGTAGAACACAAAAGAAGATATTCTGGAGGGAAAAATTTAAGTGTTGTTTTGGACCCCATTGTGTTTCATTATATAGACAAAAAAAACAGTTCTTCAAAAAAGAAAAAAAGAAAGTCATACAGGTTTAGAACAGCATGAGTGGAACACAATACATTTCATGCCATTTAAATTCGTCCATCTTACTTATTGTAGCTTTTTCAAACATTGTCTTTTATAATAGGTTTGTAATAGTGTAACTCTGGCAACCCAGAGACTGGATTATAAACCAGAGTTGTGAATAGCTTATGCTCCCGTCTTTGTTGGTTAACTCAGCACTGTGGAGATCTCTCATCAGGTAGCCCAGTTCTGGGTGTGAGGCTGATTAAACTGTTTCTATAAATATCCACATGCTGGCATTCAAAGAATTGTTAGAAATTCAAACCCCTGATACAAAGACTGCTGAGGAATTTGATAGAGACATGTCAGCTACTTCAGAAAGAAATGAGCTGTGAATGGCAGTGTTGTAGTACTCGAGACTCGGACTCGTCTCGGACTCGGTCTCGAGACCATATTTTAATGGTCTTCGTCTTGTCATGGACTCGTGTCCATTTGGACTCGGAATTGACTCGTACTCGAACATTTTTTTTTTTTAGGACTCGGAATTATTCCCGAGTCCACTCGAGTTCAATTAAAAATCTTTTTCATGATTATTAATGTATGTTAATAAAATATTTCTTTAAATTGATTGACACGCCCAGTGATTGGCGATTTTCTAGTGCGCAACTGCGCATGACAAATTGTAATAAAATTACTTTTAACACCACCTACTATGTGGCCTTTTTACCCTAAACTGATCATATTTTTTAAACTAAGTAAATTTAGTAAAAAAAAAAAGGATTTCTCTAAGTAAATAAAAGTAAATTAGGTAATCAACCCTCACTGGTCTCGGTCTCGACTCGGACTTGACCGTCTCTGGTCTCGGACTCGACTCTCTGTGGACTCGGTCTTGACTCGGACTCGACTCTCTCTGGTCTCGGTGTCGACTCGGACTCGAGTGAGGTGGTCTCGACTACAACACTGGTGAATGGTGTTAAACTGAATGTTATGGACACAAGGTTGTCACCGTAACATTTTAAAGGACAGATCACCCAGAAATTGGGGGGAAAAAATCTGCTATTCACTTTTGTTTTGTTTTCTAACCCACGTTTTTTAGAAAAATAGCATCATGCTGGCTGTGAAAAACTATTCAAAGTATCTCAATTGAAAAGTGAGATTGTGAGGGTGGGTAAGAGTGAACTTTTTGTTCAGTTTGTGCTCATTATACATGCAGCAGCAGCGGCTAGGGAAGATGGCCAATGGGGGGGACGAAGTGCTGGTGGCTGACCAGAGAGCTGACACCATGGAAAATGGCAACGTAGCAGAGGACAAACTCTCTGAGGTGCTGGAGAGTGAGATGTCATCTCCTTTCAGCTTGCCTGGTGAGGCGGTTTGACTTTAACACATTAACACGTTGGATCTTTAACTGCATGTGGTGACATCTGAAATGTGTATACCTAACTCACATAGTTCTTATAGGGACGTCCCGCGTGACATCACGCCATCTTGATGGAAAAGAAAATGCTAAACCGCCGGTGATAATACAGCTCGTCATGAAATACTCCTATCAAAGTATATACGCATGTTATTTAGTTTTTCATGGATCAAAATATATTCAGCAAATTCATTTAAGTATAACTATAATTTGGTGATAAAAATACATTGATCAGTCTTTGCGGTGATGATTGAAAAATCCTCAATCCTGAAGAGTCCAAATCAAAGAATTGCTCACCCATCCGGACTTGTATCAATAGCCTGCTAAGCTTTTGTGTTCTTTTAATGAAGCTCCGGTGTAGCTTGATATAGCGTGAAGTGAATAACGGTAGCTGTAAATGTCACCGAACTCAATGTCATGAAGTTTTTCTACATTTCTACATTTTTGTGTGTGTGTGTATGCTTAATTGGCTTTATTCACAGCTGCACTACTTCCTGAACTTAAGCCAGCTCCTTGTTTCCTGTCTGCAATTATTGGCCAAACTTGATTAATTCAGGTGTGTCTGATTATTGTTGTCATGACTACTGAGGTCAGGCACACCTGAATTAATCAATTTGTCCAATAATGACAGACAGGAAACAAGGAGCTGGCTTAAGTTCAGGAAGTAGTGCAGCTGTGAATAAAGCCAATAGGGGATTGTCACGCTTCTGGGTTTCATGGGCGGGATTTGTCAACTTTGTGCGTGTCCACTTCCCGACGCAGTTCAACAATGGCTGAGACGAATGCTATATGTCACTCCTCTGTTGCACTTTGTAAATCTAACCAACAACGCCAACCCTACGTAAGTTTTCATGGATTCCCGACTGAATTGAGTATAAGGAAGAACTGGATTAAAACTTTAAAATAAAACAAGGTAGCACGTTTGTTTGCAGCCGGCACATTAGTGAATCAGACTAATTTACCAGAGATGCCGTATAAATAAACTTAGCGTAGTCCGTCATCAGTTCGCCAGCGAGATCGGTAATTCAACGGAAGTGGCAGCGCACAAAGATCACTGAATCCGGAAGTCCTACGTATCAGCGTGATAATCCCCTATTGGTGACATGCTGTACCATGTGACTGTAGGCGGCGCTTTGGATAAAGTGAAGTTTTTCATTTCCTGGCCCATTTTGGTGTTGCTGTACTTCACCGTGCCCAACTGTGCCAAGCCGCGGTGGGAGTTCTGCTTTATGCTGTCCTTCTTCCTTTCGACGCTGTGGATAGCTGCCTTCTCCTACATCATGGTGTGGATGGTGAGTTCCTTTGTGTATGTAAGCATCTGTATTTGGATTTGCTTTTTCCTGCGTGATTTAATTTAATTTAGTATTTAAATGTAAAAAATTGTCTTAATGCAGAATATTTAAAATCTAAACACATCATAATCAAAAATAGCTTTATTGCCAAGTGTGTTTGCACACACAAGGAATTGTTCTTGGTACTGACGATTCAAGTACACGTATACAAAAACAGAAATATTGAAGCAAAATTGAAGAATAAAAATATAAGTATAAAGACTCTTAGGTTTTGTCATAAACATTTTTACATTATGAATAATTCGAATAAATATCAATTAAGTTTAGAAAGATTTTGCACTAAGCGGGATATTGCACTGACAGGCATATGCCTTGGGAGGCATTTAACGGGTAATGGGCGTTTACAGCTCTGCGTTCCTTCACGTTGATCATTTGCATGTGAACAGCTTGTGTGGGTGTGGTCATATGGTTTGTAGTCAACTTTGACTATCCTAGTATTTTTTTAAACGGTTTAATTTTTCCTTTAAGATTATTTAGACCAGTTTGAAAATGTCTCTGTTTTGACTGAATATTTGTTTGAGTTTTGGCTTACTTTAGGAGCTAAGGAGCTACTTTTTTTACTAAGCATATGCATTTCTTTGAGGCTCTCATGTGGGTTGCTGTGTGCAGGTCACAGTCGTTGGATACACTCTTGGAATCCCAGATGTCATCATGGGTATAACTTTCCTGGCTGCTGGCACCAGTGTTCCTGACTGCATAGCTAGTCTTATTGTCGCACGACAAGGTAGAGCTCTCTTTTGTTTTCTTTTCTTGGTTTTCTTACCTTTGCTTATCTTTTATCAAAAGTGAGCTTACTTTCCAACTCTGGATTTGTGTCTTTACGTGCTCAGGCCTGGGGGACATGGCTGTCTCGAACACGATTGGCAGCAACGTCTTTGATATCCTGGTTGGGCTCGGCGTACCCTGGGGCATCCAGACGATGGCTGTCAACTATGGCTCTGTGGTATCTGTCTTTGTCACTCCTCAACCATGTGCACACACATACACTGCCACAAATAATGTAAAATAACCTTTTATTTTTTGTGGCCTATGCAGGTTCAAATTAACAGTAGAGGACTGGTTTACTCCGTTGTCCTGCTGCTTGGTTCGGTCGCTTTAACCGTGAGTAAATGTGAAGAGCAATTCACCTTACAAACACAAAAGTACTATATGTGGTCACCCTATTTTAGTTTTAGTTAGGCCTCCTAATTCCAGTGCAGACTTAAATTCTTTAAATGTTCTCTGGCTGGGTATATAGATTTGATTAGATTCTGATTCATATGGGTATATTTTGCAGTATATGCTGTGTATATATGTTTTGCTCTGACTTTTAACTCTTGATTTTGTTTCTCTACCTTCAGGTGTTGGGGATCCATGTGAACAGGTGGAGATTGGACTTCAAGCTGGGCGTGTACGTGCTTGTGCTGTATGTAATATTCCTCTGCTTTTCCGTCATGATTGAATACAACGTCTTCACGTTCGTCAACCTGCCCATGTGTCTCGAGGAATTATAGGCCAGGAGATTTTCATGGGTCTCTACTGTTGAAGAAAACCACTGTCTCCCACTTCACATTCACACCAATGTGGTTCAGATGGAGGAACTGCATTACCCAGAAGACTGTTGACTCCATCAATTCCAGGAAATAAAATTCTCCTTGGCAGCTCTCTTTATAACTGGATATTCTTCCACTCCTGAGCCTTGGACAATCACAATGCAGCTCATAATTGTCTTCACTGGATTGTTTGAAGCTGGATGATTCAGACTGTACACTTTCATCACAAACTGCACACACAGCAATGACAAAGAATGCTGCTCATTCCTATATGCATTAGCAATCTACCTTTTCTAATTTCTGTCTTCCCTTAAGACACTCTATGAATAAAATGCACTTTATATGTGGCATAAAACATCTATATCACATTAATTTATTTCCTCCAGTACGAAAAAAATTAAGTATGTCCTTAATGTGGTGCAACAAAAAGATGGGCCTGACATGAAATCACTGCCCTCGGGCAAGAAAGTCATTCTCGCAGCTCGTTACACCCAAGAAAACTCTTGAAAATATGACTCGTAACAGATGTGAAGCATTTTCTGTTATGGATCAAGCAGCAGGGGGCGAGATGTTCTGGAATCCAAATGAGCTGGACAATATATTTCCTGCTGAGAGCTTCTGGCAGGTGCCCAATGGAGAGGTTAGCGAGAGGGACCAGCTTCTGAAGCTCTTTTAGATATGTTTTGGTTTCCGTTTATCGTTCCTGACCTGCATTAGTGAATGGAACCGATCATCATAAAGCACACATCAAAAGCTGCTCCTCGCCTCTCGTTCAGACCAGAGCAGACGACCCTCAGGACCGCTCTTTGCTTGTTTTAGCAGTGTGGAAGATGAGCCTGGCAACTGTGGCTGCTTTAATATTTCGTATGCATACTGATGACATCACAGAGGATCCTGGATTTTGCAAACATTCTATAAATGTATGTGTTTGTGGTTTATGTCTAAATATAACATCACTGATCCTGTTTGAATTAGTGCTTCCTAACATGAGGGGTGGGGGGTGGATTTACATGTGATCCAAAAGGCCATTTTATTTTTTTTTCCTAATGCACCCGTACCTCTCTCTCTGGATCTTTATTACCGTTTGTCTGTAATGCATGATTTGACACAAAGAAGCCATTTCTAAAGCAGGGCAAAAGCTTTGTGAGCTCACTGTCAATGTCCCTATAAGGATGAATCTCACGAAATTGTGCCCAGGTAATATTTCACCCTAAAATCAAAAGAAAAAACAAATTATATTGTGCAAGTACAGTAAGTAAATGTTTAGGACCATTTATTTCCATGGCAGTTGAGTACTTTTTAAATCCCAAAAATATTACCATGACATTATAAATACTTAAAATTTATTCTTTAAAATGTAAATGGTTTTTTTTTTAAATCATTACGAGTATGTGAATGAAATGAAACATGGAAATGTTTAAGGTTTTTTGCGTAATTATGAGATTTTGTTTGTTTTGTTTTTTTGCCGTGATGAAAATTACAGTAGTGAGTTTGAGGTAGAAAATGTACTTTGGGGTGAAATATGACCTGAGCATATTCTTGACAGGTCTCCTGAGAGTCACCCATAAATGGCAGCTACCGGACCCCTATTCGGCTGCTAGTGGACTCAGGAGATCTGAACTTGAGCTTAGGGGAACACGTGTTTGTGTCTTTTGTCAGTCGTAGAACCTGTCGTTGTCAAGTGCTAGGAGGTGCTGTTGTGTGTGCAGAACGACAGGTGTTGCAGTATTTGATGTACACATTATATATGATATATGCAATCTAAGTGGGTGAGGGCTGAGTATGGGGATTATATTTTCATAGTGGAGCCATGTTTGTGAAAGCTGCTGAAATCGCCCACCGCTGTTACACGAGCATGCTGATTCTGTCATCTAATCTGACATCACGTTATTGCCATTCTGTAGAAAGCCAACTTTAGTTTATTGTGGCTTTGTGTTGTGCGGAATGACGGTGTTGTCTTGATGACTCTTTTCTTTCGTCTTTGTTCTGTGGTGTTTTTCAGTGGTGATCTGTACGATTACATTATTCAGCTGAAATTGATACACCATATGCATAATGTTGGAGGAGCATTGAAAGCTTCTTTCTATGCCTGGTTGCCATGTTATATAGTCTTTCTAGCATTAAATGCTGCCAATAATTTAGTACTTTAGGTCTGTTTTGTTTGTTTCTCTCCTGGTTGTTTTGGGAGTTCTCTTTTTTTTTCCAGTGCAATAGTTTGTGCATTCATCTACTGCATTTATTTGAATCTTGTCAGCACACTATCCTTTACTATTGACTTTGTTGCTGATAATTTGTGCCATGTTTGATGTAAGTGCTACCATTTGAACTGAAATTTTTTTTTTAGTTTTTATATAAACCTCTGACCTCTGGGGTGGTTTGATTTGTTTCATTGGGTCACTTCGGATGGGATGTCTTTGTTGCCAGTTGTATAGCACTCTCACATGAGTAGTCTTATATGCACTCTCCATTGTATGTCTTCAGAGGACAGAAACTTCAAGGAAAATGCTTCAAATGACTCTGTCAGGCATGAATATGCACACACATGAGACACATGCACAGATACATGCGCAACTGCTTCACAAGTGACCTGCTGCACTGTGAGTGGAACGGCATTTAAGAAACCTTCTGTAAGGTACAGATTTAATGATTTTCAACATAAGACGTTGGTGTGTAACTTGAATGTATTGTCTTGCAAGCAGTGGATGTATCCAACCAATGCATTTTAATGTAAAGCAATAATCTAAAACGAATATGAATAACTATATGAATCATACGAGTATTGTATGGAGAAACAAATTAAATTATACAGTTTATCAATGTTTTTTGGGGTGTCCGTCTTGTATTTGGCCATTGAATGAGTGTTTAGCGCCCTCTTGTGTATAAAACCAGTAGTGCCGTTTTGGCCATTTTGTTGCTGACCTTCTGCTTTCGCTTCTGATCTACAGCGATGGGTGAGTTTTCAAAATGCTTATGGTAACCTCTCTAGGAAAAGATCTGTGATTTGTGTGAATCTACTGCAGGTCGTATGAAATATTGTTTGGTTGTCCCAAACACGAAAGTGTCCGTGCACATCTGACAGCAGCTACGAAGAAAAATGTCAAATGTCCAAATTCACAGTACTGATAAAAGTGTAGGCAAAAAAGTACCAGCGAGATTCTGGTGTAAATATGAAACTATATAGATCATATTTTATTAGCAGCAATGAAGTATTACGCATATTCAAAATAAGTAGGCTACATACTCAGGAGAGTAGTATGTGATTTCGGACGCAGCCAGCGTATATTTTCGTTTAGCTTTACGTTTCACCGCAGATCTAATCTACGCTTTTATCGTTGCGAACGACGTGATTAACATGTGACGTCAAGGTGTAGTGTAGCAACCGTTAGCAACAAGATAACGGGGCACTGTCCTGAAACGTGTCTAAAATTGCTTTAACCTGTTAACTGTCCCTGGCCGATTTGCTGTAGCATGATGTTTAAAATAATTATATCTAGGGTTTGAAATCAACCCTTTTCACTCACCGGCCAATTTGGCTACTGAGCCATTCCACCGAAAGGGTGACATTTCTGTCCCCAGGGGCCTCATTTATAAACGTTGCGTACGCACAAAAGAAGGCGTACGCCGCTACGCAATAGTTGGTATTTATAAAAAGAAAACTTGACGGTAAAATCCTTCGTCCTTCACGCAAGCTCTGACCCAGGTGTACGCACAAAAAACGGGTGAAATGAGAAATGGCGACACCGTCGGCAGTTGGAAAAAACACGTGAAAGTGTGTGAAACTGTAGACGGTTTTGTAAAATAAATGGCATACTGCCTCTCATAAATAATAACACGAAGACTTCACAAAGAAAGTCTTACAATTAACACCCTACACGATCACCCGTTTGATTGATCTGCAACAGAAATGCACATTAACACATATTTCCAAAAAGAAAAAAATATGTTCTTCAATAACATTGGCATAGCCTACAATTCATCCTCATAAATAAGATGGTAAACAGAACGAAATAATCATGTACAAAACTGATATTCTCGCCAATATGTCCGTCTAACGGAGCAGATTTAGCAATTAGATAGTCAGATAGATTATGGAGATAGCTAGATCGATAAATTGGTAGGCCTATATGTAGGCCTATTATTTGTCCCCTGGGGAAAGTCGTTTTCATCGTAAAAATGTATTCATGCATATGCCTTAATTTATTTTATTTTTGATAAAATAACGTATGACGTGACCGTTCAGACCATTCCTCAACCATTCAGAAAGCTGCAAGAAATTACATTTGCGCTGAACTATTTCCCATTTAGATTATAACCAACATCCGTAGCTTGTCAGATGCAGAAAATGGATGTAAATAAAATGCCCCATTACAATGCGTATGACGCACAGTGGCTGATCTTGCGCTCTTAGAAGATGTGACGATTAAATGGAAGGATTCGGAGTGAACGCATCATCTTCACAACAAAAGGTGTGGAAAAAATATATTATTTATTCAAGAATTCCCTCATTGTGCAGTTTATTTCAGTTAGAACAGTCTTGATTTCGCCCAACTCCTTGGCCACCTCTCTAATTTAATTAATGACTAGTAGCTTTTTTGCCTCGACTTTGATATCCGACCATTTCTTTTTTTTTTCTTCTTTTTTTTTCGGCCACAGTCCGAGGTTGTGAGGCGACAGCATTTACGGCGTCTGCAACCTTTTGCCACTCAAGTGCCTTTTTGGCATTAGTAATGCCCACACTGTGCCCTCCAAACAACATTCTCCTCTTTTCCACGTCGCCAACGATAACTTATTATTCACATTGAGTGAAGTTACGTTTTTTGTTAATTCCTCTTTGTGTTTAACATGATTTCGCAATTGATGAATATTAACTTGTGGGCGTTTCACGGACTATTTATGGGCAACTATGGGCGTGACATGAAGCCGCAAAAGCTGCGCTACATTTAGAATTGATTGTGATTTATTAAGGGAAAAATGCGTAGGATGTGCGGACAGTTTTAAATCCGAATATTTCTGTGCGTACGCACGTCCTATGTTTCATCTGTACGCCACTTCTGACGCAAATCCTATACGCAAAGTTTTATAAATGAGGCCCCAGGACCTTATATGTATAAAATTGCATAAAAATTGTCTCTAAAATACATTTTATTATTAAGCAAAATGTCATACACATTTAGCTAACTAAAATTTTAAAACATATAATTAAAAACATGAACAAAAACGACAGAACACTAAAAAATAGCATTTTCTGCATGTCCCAACTGTCTATCTCTAAACTTTACCATGAAATATTATGATTAAAATCCTTCAGAAATCTGATTTTTCTTGCATTGTTGTGTGACTTTATATCCAAACTGCTTTAAAATGAAGAAAGAAAAGAACATTTGATCTAATATTTTAGATAAAATACACATTTTAGTCATGTCCCCAGGTTTTCACTCAGTCCTGTTACACTATTACATCCCCCCGCTGTATAATGTAGAATATTCCACAAGACACATTTTCAACAGTAAGTTTCATCATCTGGATCTTCTGAAGGCAACGGGGTGGCTACAAGTCACTCCTCTCATTTTCGTTTCTGTATATTTGATGAAATTGTAACTACGAACGAGAAGGTCAATCTCAACATACAGTCCTGTTACCTAAACGTTTTCTTAGATTTAATTGTTTTATTTTAAAAAATATTAACTTTTGGTAAGGCACTAGAAATGGCTCAGTGTCCTCACGCTATTAGCATCAATGCTATGTGGCCATATGCCATATATTTGATAACTTTTTGCTTAAAAACTCAATCCTGTTACCTTCAGTCCTGTTACTATTTGTTTCTTTTTCTAAAAATTGTTTGGACCATAATTTATACAATTATTTAATGAATTAATTCTAAAAAAAATTATAAGCTTGAGGCTTCAGTCATCTTTAAAATGAAAAAATGCCTTTGTGTTTTTTATATCAAAATACACCTTGCTTTAATAGTGATTTTATTGGCACAAATATAATTTTTTTGAACATATAACCAACAGTTTCTTTAAATACTTTCTTGTGGGGAAAACAAAGGAATTAATTGACATGCTTCTAAACTTGCTTTTTAAATGACACATGATTTTTGGTAATAGGATTGAGAAAACATGCGTCCATATTCTGCTTAAACCTATAAATAAAAAAAATAAAAAATAAAGTTGCCTGAGATTGACCAATACAAATTTTGAATAGTTAAATATGTGTAGTATTAGATTTAATGTTGAAAAAGATCAGAAATAAAGTTTATTTTTGAAGAGTTACAACAAGCAAATGTCAATCATTCGGTGGCCCTACTAACGTTACGTATTTAGCAGTGCTAAAGAAAGAAAAGTAAGTTTTCTCTATTTCCAGGACATCATTTTTTAGACCAGTAACCTGTGACAATGTTTCCTGCAGTGCTGTTGAAATGTAATGGTATGAGAAGTTTTCTCCATCGTGCTGTGAGACTGAAATACAGCACTCGAGCAGCAAACAAGAGGCCAGGTATGATTCACAAACAGTCTGGTGTTAGTTACTATGCATTAATCTTTACAACAGTGGGTTTACACCAGCCTAAAATCATTAACTAGTTTGGCTTTATACAAGTGTCTGTCTGTCGTAACACAGAGGAATCAGCATGTGTCAGTCAGAGGGTTTGTCTCCGCGTTCTCTGCGGAGTTTTATTCGCCAGCAGAGTCAGGATTTTAACAACACATCTGGTATAGCAGCAGGTAGGAAAGGTTAAAAAATCATGGTTAGATCCCATGGTATGGTACCTTAATTCTTGATGTTATTCTGATTTTATCATTGTGTTAGCAAAGCACATTTCTGCTTGACAAAAGAGTGTGCTTTATACTTTACAAACCCTCCTTACCCAATTATGCACATGTCATTTAAATGCATTGACCCACATTGTGTTAATTTTCTCTAAAGAAATAAGTAGAGATTGATACATTTGAATAATGTGAATGCCATTCTGCATATAGTGCAAAGCTTAACAAATAACTTGACTACTGTTTTGCTTTTATGACACTGTTGAACTTCACTCATGAGTGTTCACTTTTAGACTTTGGCACCTAAGATGGATGATTTACTCCTAAAGAATGATGATGTAATTCTGATTCCATTGTAATTTTGAACCGATTCTAAATTAATAATATGAGTACTAAGAATTCAATATAATTACTGTATATACACTCACCTAACGGATTATTGGGAACACCATACTAATACTGTGTTTGACCCCCTTTCACCTTCTGAACTGTCTGAATTCTACGTGGTATTGATTCAACAAGGTGCTGAAAGCATTCTTTAGAAATGTTGGCCCATATTGCTAGGATAGCATCTTGCCGTTGATGGAGATTTGTGGGATGCACATCCAGGGCACGACGCTCCCGTTCCACCACATCCCAAAGATGCTCTAATGGGTTGAGATCTGGTGACTGTGGGGGCCATTTTAGTACAGTGAACTCATTGTCATGTTCAAGAAACCAATTTGAAATGATTTGAGTTTTGTGACGTGGTGCATTATTCTGCTGGAAGTAGCCATCAGAGGATGGGTACATGGTGGCCATAAAGGGATGGACATGGTCATAAACAATGTTCAGGTAGGCACTATTGGCACTAAGGGGCCTAAAGTGTGCCAAGAAAACATCTCCCACACCATTACACCACCACCACCAGCCTGCACAGTGGTAACAGGGCATGATGGATCCATGTTCTCATTCTGTTTGCGCCAAATTCTCACTCTACCATCTGAATGTCTCAGAAATCAAGACTCATCAGACCAGGCAACATTTTTCCAGTCTTCAACTGCCCAATTTTGGTGAGCTCTTGCAAATTGTAGCCTCTTTTTCCTATTTGTAGTGAGATGAGTGGTACCCGGTGGGGTCTTCTGCTGTTGTAGCCCATCCGCCTCAAGGTTATGTGTGTTGTGGCTTCACAAATGCTTTGCTGCATACCTCGGTTGTAACGAGTGGTTATTTCAGTCAAAGTTGCTCTTCTATCAGCTTGAATCAGATGGCCCATTCTCCTCTGACATCAAGCATCAACAAGGCATTTTCACCCACAGGTCTTTTCACACCATTCTTTGTAAATTCCAGGAACTGAGCAGATTGTGAAATACTCAGACCGGCCCGTCTGGCACCAACAACCATGCCACGCTCAAAATTGCTTAAATCACCTTTCTTTCCCATTCTGACATTTAGTTTGGAGTTCAGGAGATTGTCTTGACCAGGACCACACCCCTAAATGCATTGTGATTGGTTGATTAGATAATTGCATTAATGAGAAATTGAACAGTTGTTCCTAATATTCCTTTAGGTGAGTGTAAATTGAAAGCTGAGACTTCCGTTCATTGTTCCAGTAGGATCTTGTGTGATTTCTAGAGGTCTTGGATCCTTTTTTTAATTTATTGCATACCAAATTGTACATTTCATAATCTGCAATTGCATTTTAGGATCTCACAGAGAAATCTGATGTTTACTGACAGGATATCAACAGGCTAACGTGGTGATCTTGCACAAGGATCTTGCTGATGACTTTGAGGCGTTTTGTCGGGCTAACAGCAGCCCGCTCCCTCTGCTGTACAGGAGCAAATGTGGAGAATGGAGCTGCTCCCTCGCCACAGGATCTGACATCAGGTACTGTATCTTCAAACCAGAATTTAAATTTCTTTTCATTCTTATTTTATACCCATTTACTCAATGGGCTGTTCTTTAAAGGTGCAGTTAGTAATTTCTGACAATCATTGTTCGGCACTGTTAATATTTGATATCAACCCCAACTAAAACACTCTACAAGCTTAAGTGAAGCAAAATAAAGTTTTGTGGAAGATAAACCAAAGATTATGAACAAAAAAAATGTACATGCAGTACATGAGTATTTAAAAGCAAGAGTTGGTTGTTAGTCGCCAGCAGCACATCAGCTCCAGACGATGACGCTCAAAACCAATGTTACTCGCGTATGGAGCAGAAACTACACAACCTCTGTGTCCGTTCTCTGGTCTCTCCAGCGCTGGAAAGCTTTTCTAATATTAAAGCACTTGTCTGATCATAATTCTCTTTTCTCTTTTGTAATGTCTCCCAGTCATCTCTCTCTCCTCCCCCATCATGAGTGGACACGCCCCCATTGCTGATTGGCTACTAGTGGGTTATAGTGCTTGGTCTGAAACACTGAAACACAGCATTTCTCAGAAATCATTTAATGCACCTTTAAAAAACAGGCTGGGACCTTTAGTATGCACAACCCATGATCCCTCACTATGGCCCGGTCTCACAGACAGGGCTTAGATTATCCCAGGATTAGGCTTTAGTTAAATTGACAAATAAGCAGCTTGCATAAACCGACCTGAGGTAAAACCATTACTGATGTGCATCTTGAGACAAAAGAATGGATGTGACATTTTAACATATACCCAGTGCAAGTTGCTTTCAATTAAGACATCTCAAAAATGCAGCCTAGAAACTGGTTTCTCATTTAATTCAAACTCTTTCCTGCTGCAAATGACATATGATGGATGGTGAAAGTGCGATAGTGAAGAGACTTGCTTGTTCTGTCTTTCAATCAGGGAGGATTGTCCAGAGTACTGTGTGTTTGAGAAAGGCAAGCTAATGAAGAAGATCGCTAGTTTATCCTCCTACACTCCTCAACTTGCGGACATGGTCACGTTCTACCTCGGCTGCAGTTTTGGCTTTGAAGCAGCCTTGATGGCCGCCGGGGTTCCAGTGAGAAATGTGGAACAGGGAAAAAATGTCAGTATGTACAAGGTCAGTAAATACCCCAGGCCTGCATTACATCCATGTGTAGGACAGCTATTTACTTGATTTAGCTTGAATCTGATTTTTTCCCATCTTTGAAATTGGAAAAAATGAGCAAAAGGAAATCCTCTAAGTGCTTATTCTGTGTTTTTTTTTCTTTTTCTTCCAGACATCAGTGCCTTGTATTAGAGCAGGTCGGTTTGATTGTCCGATGGTGGTGAGCATGAGACCTGTACCAGAAGACAAACTGGATGCTGCGGCTCAATGCACACACGCAATCCCACTGGCACATGGAGGCCCTGTCCATATTGGACACCCTAGTATGTACTTGTTTCAAAAGAATGAAAGTTTCTCATTGGACCAACACAATTGGCAAAGTTACACAAAATATTGATGCAAGGTGCATGTGCAAACGAATGATGCTTTCCTTAAGGCGAGTTTCAGTTGAAGTCACTATAATAGGTCACTTGTGTGAACTTCAACACTAAGCACAGTTTAACCACATTACTTGTGAACATTGTCCATGCTGCAACATTTGACAACCCAAAAAGTGTTAAAGTAATTTTTTGGTCTTTATTTTCAGTATATATGAAGAGTTCAGATGCAAAAGCCTCTAAATGCCATTTGAAATTTTCTTCTTTAATGATGATTTTTATCAAACTTGTACATTTAAGTTCAGTAATTTCACTTAAATAACAATTAATAGGTAATTATCATTGCCATTTAAGTGAAATCACTGAACTTAAATATACAAGCTTGATAAAAATCATCATTCTAGGAGAAAATTTCAAATGGCACTTAGAGGCTTTTGCATCTGAACTCTTCATATACAGTAGCTTTTTATGCTCTTGCACAGTACTATACTTCTTCCTGGGTCGACATTTCATTCGATAACATAATGTTAGGCTGATTTAATATGATGTTTGATGATTGTGTTATTTCGCTTGTTTCTTCAGATTCTTTACATGTGTTTTGATCTAGAGAGATTGTTTCATTTTTCAGAAGATACGTAACCGCTACCGTTTAACAAGTCAAAACATGGATTGTCAAAAAAAAGAGAGAAAGATTTAACGGAAAATTAAGTCGATGGCGGGAAAGTGTTCAACATCTTGTAAACGCCCTTGATTCTCTCTTCCAGAGCTGCTGGGCATCCATGACTTGTCACGACCAGACTATGGGGACCCAGTGGAAGTGTGTTCTGGTGATGTGCCTGTGTTCTGGGCCTGTGGGGTCACCGGTGTTGAGGCTGTACAGAACTGCAGTAAGAATTCAAGAAACTCCTCAATATTACAGTACAGATCGACTTAATGCCATATTTTGAAATCATTCAGGAACATTGCTGTTTGACTTATAGTAATGTCATTTTTGCCACATACAAAGATGATTTTTATACAGTGTGTCGAAAGAGAACTATATGTTGACCGTTTGTTTTTTGATGTTGCAGAGCCCGCTCTAGCGTTCACACACTCTCCTGGCTGCATGTTCATCACTGATCAAAAGGCAGAAACTGTTTCACCCCTCACACTTGAGCCAGCACAATGCCCTTTGACAATCTGCATTTCCCAGAATCCTCAGCTTTACAGTATGACTAGCAAAAGAGCTGTTCAACAGATTCGAGCAATCGAGGAGCTCGTTATAGAAGACCCAGGTATGAAGAAACACCGTTTTGACCTCTAAAAAACCTCGTGAATGATTAAAGATGCACTTACAATTAACAATGTCACTCATTTATAAAAAAAAATAATAAATAAAAAAGCACATTAATAGACTGAATTTACAACAACAACAACAAAATCGTTCACTCACACACTCACTTGAATAAAGATTCCAGTCATATTAGTAGTCTAATAAAATAGTATATACGGAGTTGGTCATCTTATGAGGACAGACATTGTTTTATGGCTGACTGAAATTTGCACTTAAAGGGTAACTAAACCCTTAAAACCCACTATTTTAAATGATCTGTAAGAATGGGGTTTATTAGTGCTGATCATTGATTCGATTAGCTTTTTTTGACATTTGGCTATAAAGTATTTTAATTCTACAATATAGGGTGTAAAAACGTCTGAGTGCTGCCTTCTTCTGTTTGAACGGTGGCTACTATAGTTGAATTTTCCTATTGGATGTTTGTGGTTGTAGGTGACATAAGCAGATTGCAGCTCACCACGCCCTTGGCAGTATAAAAAACATTTTGTTTCGTCAAAACCACTGGGGGTCAAGAAAGAGTTGGAATTACGAGTATTGAAAACGATCAGGATAGAGTATTTTAGCATCTATTTAGCATAGCATATAGTTATTTATATTAGTTTGTGTAGCCTAGTTAGTTAGTAGCATAGTACTGCATCAGTCAGGATAGCTTCAAGTTAGTATCGATTTATCTGTGTTTAGTACAGTGGTCAGGATGGTAACGGAATACAGTGTAAGTCTGTGGTTTGTGTGCAGGTGCAAGAGGTATTCGGGCCCTGTTCTTGCAGGACGAGCTCCTAAAGGCCTGTCTCTCTCTGTCCCATTCCTCCTCTGTTCTCATCACTACTGGATTCCCCACACACTACATGCACACCCCCCCTGAAGAGACTGATGGGCCGCCCGGGGCCATCGCCATGGCAGCTATGCTTCAGGCACTCCGCAAAAAGGTGGTCATCGTGACGGATGAGCGGGCTTTGGAGATGAACCAGCTCATCATGCAGGATGCTGTGAAGAAAGGTGCCGCATTTGGTCTTCGTCGTTGCTGATTTAGTGTTTTTAAGATATTCTCTGGTTTGCTAGTCAGATGTAATTAAGCGACATGTGTTTCGTTGTTTGGTTTTATTGCTTTATTGATTTTTTATTTATTTTTATTTTTTAAGAAATGAATTTGTTTTATTCAACAAATGTGAAAAATGTAGTTTGGGAACAACTCTTTCAATTCTATTGATCAGAAAAACCTGGGATGAAATGTTTCTTGCGGATCAAATCAGCATATTAGAATGATAGTGTAGCAATGATGCTGAAAATTCAGCTTTGTCATCACAGGAATAGATTTTATATTCATATAGACATATACATTTTTTTAATAATATTTCACAATTTTATTACAAAGATAACGTATCAAATATATATGGTTGGAATTTTTGTTGATTTGCATAGCATTTCACTTTCAGTGAGGACAGAAAACATGACGTTAGAATATGGTCTTATTGTAATGTACCAAGATTTGTGTGTGTGTGTGTTATTCACTAACAGGTGTGATAAAGACTCCAGTTCCCGTAATAAGTTTCCAGAGTAAAGGTCCTGACTCAGCACTTCACTTCCTATGCCATGATGGAGATCCCACAAAGCCCAGGTGTAATGGTGGTTCAGTCTAATTTTCCATCCACTGCAGTAGACGTCATTTTCAGACATATTATATTTAAAAAAAAGTTATGTTAAACTGAGCAGCACATTATGTAACAATGAATATTATAAACAGTAGTATAGTACATAATTAAATTGAATCTCACTGTTGTTCCAGATAAGCGATTTCTTACAGTATATAACTTTGGTAGCTTCATGTCTCTTGCATCACACTTCAGTCTCAACTCAAATTAATATATCATGTCCATTTATGTAGTTATTTGGTGATTACCCATGAAATAAGAGGGATTATGTACTTTTAGCCAATCATTATCATAAAATGAGGGTGATACTAGAAACCATGTTGGGTTTTATTTTATGAAAATGACTGTATTATTATCCATTACTTTATGCAGTAGTAAAGAAATATTCCAGCTTAAGCTTAACATCTTAAGCTTAATCATAAGCATTTGTGGCATAGCAATTGATTACCACACAATTTATTTGTCTAATTTTTTCTATGAAAAACTTAGAATGGAAGTGAATGTAACCAATTTTTTGGAGGAAAAGTTGTGAAATTACTTAAGAAGCTTGGGTTTAGAAGTGTGGAAATCAACTTTATGCCACAAGAGCTGTCGATTGAGCTTGATTTACTGAATCCAGAATATTCCTTTAATCCAACTCTTGCAATTCTGATCAAATAATGCCATATGTTAAAAATCAGACAATTGGTATTAATCCATTCATTTGCCACACATTTAAAAAAAAAAAAAGGTTAGGTCTTAAACTATTTTGCATATTGCACCACAGTATACATACTAAATAGTAAAACCAGTATACTATTCCCAAACATAACCCATATCTTGTTTACCATGTAGCCTTTGAACTCATAATTGTTCCCATCTACTGCAAAGGTTCGACCACTTGGTGGCAATAGAGCGCTGCGGCCGGGCTGCAGACGGGAACTACTACAACATGAGAGGGGTGAACATCAGGCATTTGGTCGACTCAATAGACGATCTCTTCACCACTGCCAGCACTATTGAAGGAATCACTACCACTGGTAAAACCACTGGCAAAGCCAAAGCACCTAAGCAACAAACATGAGATTAACTTACACTGTCAAATGTTGCTTGATCTGATCCTAATCTATTTTAAAGATCAGAAGAACAACTAACTTAGTTCCCAATTAACGATTGGCACTAGGAGAATTGTAATAAGACCTGCTACCTAACAGGATTAATTGTGTGTGTGTGTGTGTGTGTGTGTGTGTGTACACAGGGATCGGAGATGGTGGTAATGAGCTTGGTATGGGTAAAGTCAAAGCAGCAGTTAAAGCATACATGCCTAATGGGAACCTGATAGCATGTGACGTGGCTGCTGATTTTGCCATCACAGCAGGTAAGTTAAGCACACCTCACACAGTTCTATCTTTACCGTTTTGACTTCTTTGCTTGCTGTTTTGCTTTTATCGCCTGACTCTTTCACTTAACGTAGACTCACTGTATTCCGAACACTTTGCACAGTAAAACGTCCTTTAACATATCAACCCGCTGAAAGATAAACCTGATTGCTCGCGTCTGTCTCTAGGGACACGACTTCCACACGTTTCAAAGTTTGTTTGACCCATTTTGAACTAACGTTAATCATTTTAGAGAAATCTTGAAAAAGAAGGATTACCATGACGACTCACGATTAAAGTCGTATGAAAAGATTAAAAGTCGTATGAAATACAATTATAATACAATTCTAAGTTATGAGTAGCTACTGTATACTGTGTAGACTACTGTTTTTATTTTTAAAACGGTGTGAAAAGTAAAAATTATCATAAAATATCAGTTCAGTCAAAGTACACCTTTCCTCATAGTAACTGAAACTTTCAGTTATTCTTTTTCAGCTGGCTGACCGTACAAATATTCATATGGTAGTAAGTTAAGCATTTTTAAAGGGAAATTATACATTATAACAGGAAAATGTACCTTTTGTTAAAAAAACAAAACAAAACAAAAAAACTGACTCTGCACATGCGCATAACCGGTAAGTAGCAAATCTCGATGGGTAGCATGAGAGTCAGAACACCGGACAGCTGAAAATTTCTACTCACTGTGTTTCGGACAGTCTTGGGTCATTCCTGGTATGCGGTGACATTTTGGCTTCATAAGTGTTGGTAAAAAAAGGACATGATTTTCATGTTTTTAGCATTCTACCAAAATATCCACACGTTTAACTATAAGGAATACATATTGGTCAAGCTCAGGGACTCTGAAAATAATAATTATGGGTAGATTGTTCAGACATGTCCATGAAAATATTCCACCCTGTTAGGGACATATACATAGTTATCACAACATGTTAATAATGTAAATGTTAAACAATAATGAGCTTTTCTTGGATAGTATATGTCCCTTATGCCATCTTAGATTTTTTTTTTCTTGAAACAAGCAAAACAATTTTTGATGAAGAGAATATGTCTTGATTATTAAAAACTGGTATTTTTTGTGCCCATCTTTGCAAATAGGATGGTAAATAACAATAAAAATTCGCTCAAAATATATATATATATATGCTGTTAGTGCTCCTCACCTCACAAAATAAGACATAAGTATGCCAAACATTTAATGTTGCTGTCAAATTATTATTTAAAATTAATTATCTAACAGGGTGGAAAGGAGCATAACAGGGTGGAACAGAGTATAACAGGGTGGAACACCAGTGTTAACATGCAGGTTCAGTGGATGAGCCTTTTGTCATTGTCCTGCATGATTTGCCATTGATAATGTGTGGAACTGCACCTATAACATATTGTTTCAAAACAATAAAATAAAAAATCCAAATTTCTTTTGGGGGAGGGACACAAAAAATATCTGTGGTTCCTCATCATAATCAATCATGGGGGCAAAACAAAACAATTCTCTCTTCAGATGGCTAGAGAAATATGTACAAATTAGAGAAGACAGACATAATAAATTACATTTTTATTTATTTATATTTGATTAAAAATAAAGATGATATAATTTATTTGAATTAACTAGATTAACAAACAAATACAAAAGTCATCACAAGAAGGAACAGTAATGGACAGTGATGCCCTTTGTGGTGTTTTGGCTACATCAATTTACTAGATTAACAAACAAAAGAAAAAGAAAAGCAAAAAGGCAGGGGAAAAGAACTTTAAACTCTAAAGAACCATCTCAGCATAGGATGGTATACTATATAAATAACCTATACATTAAATACTAATTTTTCTATTCGAATTTCCACCCTGTTAGGTTTATAGACCTAACAGGGTGGAACCTAACAGGGTGGAAAATTCTGAGCAAAGTTAGCCATAGCTCTTTGAGTGATCAACATTTAGCTAGCTAAACTTCTACAAATTAACAGAACTTTTATAACTATGTCAGATTTGTTTTTGAATTTTTTTGATAGGACAAACATTCTTCATAACAAAGCCTAACAGGGTGGAACTTTAAGGGTGGGACAAGCAGGATAACATCTCAAAAACTAAAAAAAAATTTAGGAGTGAGAGTTAAAGCTTGCCTCAGTTTGTACAGTTAAATTCCAGCAGGTAAAAGAAATTAAATCACTTCTTGAAAATGGACTCAATGAAATCGCAGTCGGATTTGGAAGGCAAAAAAGTACATACTAACAGGGTGGAAGATGACTTCAGGGACGCAGTAATTTAAGAAAATTTTAAGAAAAAGACCTATATTTTCACATGATTTATATGTATGATTAGGTGTAATTTAGCCTAGTCTATAACATAATTCAAAAATATTTTGAGGTTTTTGTCATTTCATGGTTTATATTTTTTGCAGAAGTTGATTACTGTGCACTGAGGACATGATATAATTGAATGCATACATCAATTAAAATGGTGTAAAATACAAAATAGTATTTTAAATGTCTATTATCTCTGTTTAAATTGTAAAGAATACTTAAATCTACAATTTAAGCCATTTATTATAAATATGTGACTCATTTTAGAGAAAATATGAGTATATAAATCATTGGGACAGGAAAAGTCACCGCATACCAGGAACAAAAGCATTTCTAATATAAAACGCATACATTTTAACAACCATAAGTTTGTAAAGTCATCATATTAATCTTCATAACTTTGTTGTATAAGCGTCTATACACTCTTTTAATCGACAATTGCTCATTTGCTGATGTTGTGCCTCTCTCAACCACAAACGCCTTCTTTCATCATTTTGTGCACTCTTCCCTTTAACTTTTGGCAGTCTATTGAACACGAAAGGTGTTTTCCCGATGCGACCGATTTGACCGACCAAAATTTGACCGTTTTTCAGCAGAAATAATCATCAAAATTTTCAAGTCCGTTCAGTTCAATGGTATTGTTTATGTTCTGTGCCACAAACATGGCCGACTTCCGGATTGATGACGCGTCGTGAAAACCCTTTTATTTTTTTGTTTACAAATTAAGGTTAAGAATAAGATTACAGCAATTCATATACAGTATAGTCGACAGAGCTTCAGAATATTTCCCCACAAAATTTAAATATAAAAATTAAAATATTTAATTTAATGTTTTTTATTCAAATATTATGTTATAATTTGCAGAAGCATGCTTTTTAGAAACAGTGAATACGATGAACAATCTTTTCCTTGCATACCTAATGTCCACCTCATGTGTTGTAGGAGTGTCCAACTGGGGTGGCTATGCTGTCGCCTGTGCGCTGTATGTTCTGAATCTTTGTCCATTGCACTGGCGGTACCTCCAGAGAGGTTTGGTTTTGTCACCCACACCTGATCAACGAAGCCTGTGGTCTGCCTGCCTGCCCACCATAGCCAAGGTAACTGTATTCTAATGATAATGATTGGTCATTCTGGTGGTTAAGTTCAGTACGACATTAACTCTTTCCCTGCCTCTTTTTTGATAATTTTCACAATTTTCCTCACTGCTGAGTGATTTGCATTTGTAGCTCGGCATAGCTTTGGCTGTTAGGGACTACACGATATTCCTCCCATGTTAAGGCGGGCATACACTGTGTGATGTCTGTGCGATTTCAGCAAGGTACCTACTGGTACTCAAGGTACTCAACCAGTAAATCGCATGCGATGCAAAGCCAAAGTTCAGGATTTATGTGCTCACACCGTACGGTCCGATCGTCGAGCTGCGACTTCACTGCTCACACTATACTTGTAATATCTGCGATAAACCCCTGGATTGCACCTATTTACGTGTATGTATCCAGAGATATTGTCAAAAAAGCATCTGCTATCAGTATCAAGATGATTTAGCATTTTCAATTTATGCATTTAATTATTTTTAGTATTTTTGTATTATCATTATTAGGGGAGGCCTATAGACCATTTCACAAGATGTAAACAACACTGGTCCAGAAGCACTTCCTGTTTCAGTTTTTTAACATTACATAAAAGCTGGGATAAAATACAACCAACAGTTACCAACAGCAATATTTTCACAGCACATAACCAACGTGCTGTGAGGATAATAAAATAATACATAATCTTACTCCTCATTAAAAATTGTCTAAAACATTTAGGTTGATTACAATGAATTATAGGCATTTATACCATGGTCTAGGTGAATACTCGATTCTGATTGGCTGCAGGGTGTCCGTTAAAAAGTGATAGAGGACACCTAGTAAAGTAGTTCTGGTGAAACTGCCTGTTTACCATTCGAAATGAATAAATAAATGCGCTGCCCACAACAGCTGTGAGTAACCATAGCAACAGGCAGTCAAAATATCCGTTAACACTTTGCTCTATCAAAACAAACATCTAACGTTAGTTATTACATAGCTAACTAATACAACAATGTGCGACTTCGTTATTTCTTTTAACTAACATTTATGGAGAATATGACAACTTTGACGACTGGGACGCTGCTGAAGAAAGAAAAAATGTAAATAAAACGGAGTAACGTCGCAAAGAAAATTACACCGCTGCTGCTCTGAATGAGACCCTGCGGGAGTTTTACGCAGCAGTCCAGACAACCAAGGCAGGAGGAGAGTAGGCTACAGCGTTTCAAGCCTAAGAGGCCTGTTTGATTAATTGTTTTATGTGTAATTAAAAAAAAAAATAACCATGCCTACCTTTGTGTTTCATGAAAAAAAAAAAAAATTTGAACCTGAAGGGTTCTACAAGATGAGCGGACTATAAATATCTCCGGTTGCTAAATAAACCAGGCGAGTTATTATTTGTAAAAACTTGATTTAGCCTAATTAAAATATGAACTAGCAGCTAATGTTTTAAAAATGTTTTATTTGGCAAGTGACCATGGTATAACTGGGTTATACCATGGTATAACTTTGGCAAGTGACCATGGTATAACTTCGGCGGAGGCAACCGTCCTCCGCCGCGCGTCGGCCGGTTCACGCCTCGCCGTCGTCCATTAAAACCTGACAATGGACACCTCGTCGGGCATTAACCCTTACATAAAATAACTATTAACAGTCTATAATATGTCTGAACATTGCCATAATTAATCAATGAAAATAAAAAACAGGTTTATTTCAAAAACATTGTTTGACAAATTGATAAGGTGTTACATCGCAGGTGGCTTGGAAGATGGTGGGTAATATCCATTTTGCAACACGAACTGGAGGTAAGCAACAGTAATTTGTTGCTAGTTTGAACTACAGAACTTAAAGATCTCCCTCTTTTCGTTTTTATTTTAATTTTATTTTTGCGGCAGATGAAATGGTTAAACTTCTGTTTTCGCGCAGGTGCAGTGAGCGAAAAAACACTGAGTTTAAGGCAATCGGTTCGTAGCTTTGCTTCAACTGTGCGATATAGTCACTAGGGATGTCCCGATACCACTTTTTCACTTCCGATACCGATGCCGCAGCTTTGGCGTTTGCCGATACCGATATTAATCAGATATCTTTATTTTACATTTAAACTAATAAAAAATAGAGCAATTTTCTCAATTAGCCCCTTAAAATATACCTCCAGTATATAGTTCACAACCCACCCTTTATATATATATATACAGTATATATGGTACTTCAGTTCTTAAAGCTAGCTAGCTACCAACAGGTTTAAAGTTAAAACAATTTAAACAGCAGTATTCTACATTTTAAATACCAGTACATTTTTTAAAGCAAGTAGAATTTCTATGTGTGTTAAACTGATTATCACTCTTGTGTGTGTTAAACACAATCTACTTAATACAGACAGCTTCATTATAAAGATAAACAACAAATCCCCAAAATATATGATCATAATCTATGACAAAAATGCTATTATAAACTAGATTAGTAAATAATACATATTGCTCTTTGTATTGTTGTAAAATACATTCATGAAAAACAATATAATAAAAAAGAAAAAGATAATTATTTTAGATATAGCCAAGGCTACTAAAAATTGAGACATGTTTTAAGTGTATAGCACAGCAATTTAATGAGGCAGCAACATTAATAATTATAAATGTTAATAAGCTTTAATTGAGTTACTGTATTATTATATGAATGACTCGAACACAGTGCGGCGCTTATGTGCATTCCGAGCGCAGAATGATGCGCTTGAAACCACGTGGAGTTACAGCACGCAGCCGAAGTTACAACGTCACTCTGTAGGCCAAAACGCGGAAGTGAGTTAGCATTTTAGCATTACGGTTCCCTCGCTCTAAAGTCTATGGGAGTCTATGGGGTTTTTGCTAAATCGCCTGAAATAAGGTCTGTGGTGAACAGAGCCTCTAAATATTTTCACGTTTTGATCTATGACATAGAACACACAGTTATAACCTGCTTGTGGTAATTTTAAACTTTATTGTCTGATTTGTGTTTTTTAAAATCTTTATATAGGCTTCAAAATGTATACATTTTGTATTAACTTGTAAAGATTATCTTGCTAGACAAAACGTGTAAAGGTCACAACCCTTTGTTAAACACAGATCTTATTTTTTGCGATTTTTCCAAAAGTCTATGGGGAAAATGCATTGCTTTTCGACCGAGAGAACCCATGAGCCGCTAGCTTCCGAGTTGTCCAACAAAGTGACGTCATCACTTCGGCACTCTATGCACCCTATATGGTATGCATGCTGCGCGTCGAGTCCGCTTTGAAAAGTTCAAAGCACAAAGGAAATACATATTGATGGACAGTGTATTAAACAGTATCTATCTATACAATAGTTTATTGAACCTTTTCTTTAAACAGTTTTAAATTACATTCAATGTGCGCGTGAAGAACAATAGTGCTCTGACTCTAGTGTTGTGATCTAACCGACAGCGTCCGACACCTGGTAGAAAGTAACACGATTAAGTTACAGCAATAAAGTCCAGCAAGATAATGTTGTTTTATGCGAAAACACAGACCTTTATCTACAGATAAAGTATAATAGTATTAACATTGAATCATCTTGAAGATAGTTTCATCATTTACTGTAACCGAACGCGACGCGCTGTTTCAGTGCTGAATGGAGAATGATTGACAGAGAAATTAATATAAGTCATTAAATTCAAGATCACGTAAACTTTTTCCTCTCGCGGCTCTCACATAATGGCTTCAGCACACTTATAATAGCAGACTGATCTCATGAAGTAGCATGTGTATGACACGCCAATTCGTATTTCCATTTTTGGCGTGCTATCAAGACGCATAATCGTCTTTCAGCGTGTTTATGAACGCCGTTGACTTAACGTTATATAAATATATGACTTACCTCAACCCCGTCCCTAAACCTAACCGTCACTGGGGTTAATGGCATTTATGACTGTTCCCTTACCATCCTAGGTAAAAAAAAGATATGACTTACCTCAACCCCATCCCTAAACTTAACCGTCACTGGGGTTAATGGCATTTAGGACTGGAGATTTGACTGCGTGTTCAGACACGCGGAATGACGCGGACGTTAATGGCGTAGACATATACGCATACACGCGGATACACGCGGATAGCACAAAATGCGTGGAGATAACACGCCACCTGACTCGAAAGTGGCGTATATGTTTACGCAAAAGTCATGATGTCATGTTGCTAATAGAGTGCACTAAAACGTTATGGTACTTTAGAATGTTTTTGTGCCTTCTGTGGGGCTTAACAATAACATAATAGTATACGCACAATATTGGATTTGGATCGGCCTCGTCTGATCGATACCCGATCGGAGCCGATACCGATCCTGAGTATCGGATCGGGACATCCCTAATAGTCACGAGGAGCGACCAAAATTTCTGACATACCAGAAATTCATCCGACCATCCAGTTGTCGATCGTGAGAGGTTAATCGCCTCTCGTTTCTCCCTGTACACTGCACGACAAAGCTGAAAATCGGTCCGAAACGAAAAAGAGTCGCACGAGTCAGAGTTCGGCTCAAAATCGGATGAAAATCGCACAATGTATGCCCTCCTTTAGTGACATCACCAACCCTAATATTTACTTAAACCCCACCCTCAGGAACGCGATTTATAGATTATTATGACAGAATGTTACCAAACCTGTCCTGGAGGACCACCAACACTGCACATTTTCCATGTCTCCCTAATCAAACACACTTGATTCGACTCATCTGCTCATCGACTCTCCTGCTCATTAACCCATGTGATGAGCTAATGAGTCGAATCAGGTGTGTTTGATTAGGGAGACATGGAAAACGTGCAGTGATGGTGGTCCTCCTATGAAGGTAGATTTGTGTCTTTATTATTCAATCAAAAAAAATGTTGCTTCAATCAAAAAAAATATTTTCAATTAAAAAAACCTTCACTTCAATGAAAAAAAAACTTTTCAATCAAAGAAAAAAAGTATTTGAATCCAAAAATATATTTGAGACTCAAAAAAATACATTTGAACACTGCTTTTCTTTGATTGAAAATGTTTTCTTTGA